AAAACACCAAAAATGTCATCTTGAGACATACCCCTGGCGAACCCAATCCCGCAGATGTAGGAACACGAGGAACCACAGTTGAGAAGCTACTGAAGTTCAAACAGTGGTGGAATGGACCAAACTTTCTCATGGAGAAACCAGAATAATGGCCTTCCAATTTGCTCGAAACTCTTGAAAGTAGCACTACAGACACTCCAAAAGAAGAAAAGAAGTCACCAGCGTTTCCACGTCATCTCATGTCCGTCTTCTTATCAAACAAAAATGACGACAATAACAAATGGAGCAATACAATTGTTGACGCGTCTCGTTTTAGCACATGGACAAGGCTAGTAAACACCCTCGCGTATGTTTTGAAGTTCATAACAAAGAGGATACCAATAGCAACCACAAAATTTGGATCCTCGTAAGTAGCTCACTTGAACAATGCGGAAATTATCCTATTTCGCATTGCTCAGATGATGTCTCCGCCATCCGAAGAACACAAGAGACAGCTCTATCTCTTTCAGTGTGCTCAAACCCTGCTATGGAAAAGTAAAATCCGAATAGACTATGCTGATTTACCTCCAGAAGCAATTACTCCAGTCTATTTGCCGCGCACGAGCAGGATTACCCTCACTCTTCGTACTCCACATCCATCGAACTAACAACCATTGTGGAGTCATTCATACTTTGACACTCTGCCGTTTAAGGGTTTGGATTTCCCAAGGATGGACTGCTGTTGTGAAGAACATCATACACCACGATTGTTTCCAGTGCAAAAGACACCAAGCAAAACCCTTCACAGAGTGAAACCGCCTCAGTACCCATTCTAGAACACGGGCGTGGATTTCTTTGGGCCCTTACCATACAGAACTCAAGATCAGTCCACTGGAAATTAGTGGATAATTTTGCTCACTTGTTTGAATTGTAGAGCCATATTTGTGGACATCATTCTTGATATGTCTGCGCAGACCAACTTACACATCTTACGACGCTTCATTGCCACAATGGGATGCCCTCCTGGATTATCTGCGACAATGCCCAATCTTTCAAGACCTCTCCCTGAATTCCAGACTGACATGGACTTGATTGACTACTGCTCGAAACGACGAATTGAGATGAAGTTTATCCCTAGCCTAAGTCCATGGCAAGGAGGTATGTATGAGAAGATGATAGATATTTTCAAGAAATCGTACAAGTTCTCTATCGGAAACAGTTTACTGGACATTGAAGACAGCAAAACTATAGCCAAAGAAGCTGAGGCTATAGTAAACACCAGACCACTCACATACTATGTTAATGAGTCGAATTATTTACCATTACATCCGGTCGACTTCATTCGACCATATGCCTTGCTCAGCTGCAGTCGACCGGAAAATCAAGAAGAAGATTGGATACTGCACCCGACAAATCATACCACATTACTGGCAGATTGGAGTTGTACAAACAAATTCCTTTCTAACTTTTGGCAAAGGTGGACCACCGAATACCTAACTACAATGCGGGAACACTTCAAAGACAAACACAACGAACCCAGGTCACACGAGATTGATTCTTCGAAAAAAGGCGATTACGTCCTCATACAATACTTGAATCGCGGACGGAAAATGGGAGAGATGATAAGATCCAAAGATGATTATCGCAGATCAGTCGAAATACGCTTGCCTTCGAAAGGAGTAATAACACGCCCAAACAATCTCATCCACAAAATGGAGTTAGGTCCCGAGCATACAACAGACCTAGAAGAAGAAAATCTAACTTCTTCTCCGTGCACTGTAACACAGTCGAGACACCCAATGACAACCAGATCAAGAGCAAGACTACAATCAAGCAGTATATTTATGTGTCTTAGCTTACTCTTCTCAACTATACTGTGAAATCTCAAAGTATAATAGGAAGCCATGACATACCCATCGAAGAAAATCATAATCGATGTCCTGAAAACCTTGTTGCAGAAAAGATTGTACTATATGCTACTAACTGCGTCGATAGAGGAATCGCTATCGCTCGAATCAATGTTGAAGGAAATCCTCTGTGCTGGTTCCCTGTTCTATGTCCTCTAGGTCACATACGATTCCAAGCCAATTCCTCAACATTGTGCGGAAAGAAATGTAAGTGCCCTTCATGGACATCAACATGCTCGTTCAGTGACAGCTCTTACACAGCATTGTCATATCTTGAACGAATGCCATCTAATTTTCTCCATTATCAGCCCGATTACGTGTGCTCCTTTGAGTCCTACACTTCATGCGACTCAATCAAAAAAAGGGTTCTTCAACCAGGTGCAACTCTACGACGACTCGCTACTCCTGGTGGAAAACCTGGTAATAAACATCCGCGACTGTGTCGACAAGTACGACTTTCTGTGCATAGACAAAAAAGGCTGGAAACGACAAGCGACAAAATTTGTCACAGGAACATCTCAGTTTTACAGAAGACACAAGTGCAGTCCAAGAGCACGTCTATTTTGCGCTTATGATAACCCGCTGGCCTTACTTGTTCTCAATGCTACATCAAACCTGACCGTAGCAGTCAAAGCCTGGGGCTCCTTAGCAAAAAGCTACTACGGATTTTCCAGTAACGATGGAAACGCAATTGACCATCAAGACAATATAAACCTTGCCGCGAACGATGGTGCTGTGAGTTTAAACCATCTATAACTCGTTACGAATTGTTCCAAAGGAGGATTAACTCTAAACATCATTTCCAAGTACGATTTCAATGAAATCTGCATAGATCAGTATTGCGTTTTTCTCAAGGGAACCCTTCCGCATGAGATAGCATTCCCCAACTCGATCGTTTTGTACGACTATACTGCCACAGTCACTGTCTGGAGCAGCTCAAAATCTTACCAAAGGAAAATACACTGCAAAGCGCACCCTATATGCGAGATGCTACAATGTTACTTTTGTCTTCAAAGACTCTACAATACACAGTGTTGGACGCTGACGGAGAGTGCTATTGCTGCCATAGGAGCGTTTCTCTTCCTACTCTTGCTATTATGGATACTTCTGACAATCAAGATCGTCATTTTTCTTCTGCAGATCATAAGAAATCTTTTGAAGTGCATTGGCAAATGCTTGAGAAGATTCTTTCTCGCTAATCGCCTTCCGCATCCCCAACCGACAGAACGCAATTTTCCCACGTACGTCAGTAAAAGGTAGAAAATCAGAAAAAAAAAGCTTACTGCTAAGCCTTCTCCTTTCGTTGATAGAACCACAATAAACACAGGGATGCTCACAAGTCACTTCTATTTCCGCTACTGAAAATGTTTGCCACATTTTCAACAACTCCGAAACATGCACCTTTGACGAAGCAACAATCATGACTCTCCAGCCACTGTCACAAGAAACATGTCTTGCACTCAGGAACCATCAAGGCGCTGTGCTAGCAATTCTTTCAATAAGGATTGACGGTATACGCTTTAAATGTCAACAGAAGACTGAATTTTTTACAAGGGATCATCAACTGAAATCAGAAAACATCAACTGAAATCAATACACAGATGCTACTTGGCCGGCAGTTGTCAAGAAAACACATGTGACAATACCTCACCGAAGCACAGAATCAAAGAAATTTCAGACTTAGCTAATGACCATCCTGGCTATACATACTGCACATCCAGTTGCGGATGCTTCACTTGTGAAGGTTGCTTTATGTGTCAGCCTAGCTGCTTGTTTTACCGGATTTACGCTACTCCCACAAGTGCCTCGATTTACCATGTATTACTTGTTTCAGTTGGGAGGTAGTCGTGGACGCCGTAATAACACTTCGCGATGATAATTCCGAGCCCTCATCTACAGTCCTTAAACTCTATCCCGGACAAGCAAGCCTATGGAACCATGTGAAAGTCACTCTCACAAGTACTGTCAATCCTCAGTTGCCAATACTTTCGTCCCACCTTCATATCAACAGGAAAAGAAACTTCCATCGTTGAACCCTCGCACATAAAGGTCAGTTGACGCCGAGAAGTGCAGGGCAACTACAATGTTCTTCTCGGAGCCACGCACAGAAATTTATATGCACTTTCTCTAGCAAAGCATGCACATGCATCAGCGGATTGCAGAAGGCATCTTGCGTATGCAGCCCAGGAAACATGCGCAAACTCATGATAAGCTCTCCATTACCTCAAGTATCCTATCCTATGCAATTTTCACTCAAGATGGTGAAAATTTTTGCAAAGGCTAACCTCGGATCGGCTTTACAGATTGTCGTGCAAAACATGAAAATCAGCGCCCAGCAAACGCATACTACTTGCGAAGCGGAAGCAAGCGACCTTGTTGAATGTATAATTGTATCGCCGGAGCTGAACTTGCTCTTTCATGCAAAAGTAAGGAAGGAGAACATTGGCGAATATCTTGTGCCCAAGTGAAAATCAAGTGGCAAGATGCACGACGAATGGGTTTCTAAACAAATTGAAATTTCATTTCAACACTTCAGTAATATCAATGAATTGCATCGTCAGCTGTCCTGAAAGTAGAACTGATATTACCGTTTATGGCACCTACATTACATCAGCAACAACTTGGTCGAAGAAGACTCACGCGCAGAAAATGAGCAGACCAAGATTCCTGAAGACGTCTCATATTTGGGTACGCTGAGCGACCACGTCATTGACTCCTTCATAACATTGTAGCCTATCTTCCCAAGCTTATAATTCAAAATATCAGAATAATTGTGTTGTGTGTTATCTGCTTTTTTATTGTGTGTATCCTTTCAATGCTTTGTAAAATCTGTGCGAGGACTCCTTTCCACTCCCACCAAAAACGCCATTAGCTCATCATTCTCATGCGAAGTTTATGTAACGCTACAGAATATGTTGAAAAACATCCTTTCTGTCACATTCGAAATTGCGCTTCATAATAAAACAAGGCTTAGTCAGCGATCTGCTAGTCATTTTATGGAATCCTGCATATGCTATCTTGATACTGTTAGTTATGCTATTCGAAAAATAGTTCAGGAATAGAAGAGAGATGTATGATATATAAGTTTGTTGAAAATTGTTACTTCGCTTTTTCGCCCATGCACTAAACGTCAGTCTACCATCGCCTTCGCCGTCAGTTCATCAAATCAGTGCCTGGCCCTTAAAGCCTCCGACAGAGTTAACGCGATTTTATCGTCGCAATTCATGCGACGAGACAAATTTTACGAGTTTATTGCATGCCGATCTTCTTGCATTTCGGTTGTGATAATTAGTCACGCTTAGTCGTATTGGAAAACTATCACAACCGAAATGCAAGAAGATGGGCATGCAACGATATTGTTACAGTAGTCTTGTCGCAATCAGTCGCGACGACCAAATTGCGTGAAGTGTGCCCGAGGCCTAACAGTGTATAATCGGCTCTTAGATTCGTGTGGAGGCGGGTTGCCCGACTTCTATGACTTTAGGGATAAGCTTAATGAAAGAGTACGAAATAACAATGCTGCGACGTGGAGGATTAACAGTTCATCTTGAAAAGGAAAGTCCGCAACCCGCCTCCACACGAATCTGGAAGCCGATGATACTTAAAGAAATAATGAAAATGTACGTTTCATTATTTTTGTGGTGTTCTCCGCAACGGTTTAGTCTCCTGATCTGCTCTTCACATTCAAAAGTCTGATTCACTATGAGGCTCATTACATGCTTGGCAGTTGTAAGTGATGTAGCGAGTTTTTTGTAGTATGCATTTTGTCCCTTAAAATTGTAAAGTTGGTAAAAACTGTACTTCAGGAAGCAGTCTTGTTTGCCCTTGTGGATACCGCCATTGTTGGCGTGAGATTTGAAGTGGTATGTCGGATACAGCGCCATAGACGACTGCGTAGGGGTCATCGTCTATGGGTTCACGCTCTTTTGATGGAGGTAAGACTTCTTGACCGACCTTGCCTGAGCGCATCTTGCATCTCTAGCGGGATTCATGGTCAGAAGATGATCTTTTGAGAGAAAGACAATATAGAAATCGCGACGATAGTCCCCGGATGGGGCTCACTTTGTACAGTGGAGATGCTAGCGATGGATTTGGCGATTATTATCTGGAGGTGTATCTTGATATTGTGCATAATTGTGTGAGATATGTAAGTATATTCTCATTGGGTAAAATTATTTGAGAACATCTTTGAAATGCAGTTTTTTCTAAGCACAAAATGGAAACTAGAACAAAAAGAATCGAAGTTGGAGATTTTCCAGTAGACAAGAGGGAACCCACGCTGGTGAATCTTGGAAGGATCTATCTTCCTTAGTGCCACAGAGTACGGAAGTAATGCCGATCAATGTTGATGTGCATCAGAATAAATCATGGTGCCTTTTGTTAGGTGTCATATCTAAAGGAGGTTTTAATATCCATCTTATTAATAGCTTTAGTAGCTACTGATATGATTAAGCGTATCTTACTCCTGATGTACTACTATAATTCACTAAGGCGAGTCGTGCCACACTGAGTAAAGATCTTGTTGTAAGGAGACCTTGGCGGGTGATGACTAGTGAGGCACGGACTTCGTTTTGAAGATTTTCTTGAAATGCTTGGACGTTTGTTTGCGTTCAACGCTAATTGAGACATAGGGCAAAAGTGGTCGCATTTCGTTTGAAGAAGCAAATTACAGACACGTTTTATTTTTTTTGTATCTTGTTCTTAAATGTTGTAGAGCATAGATCAAATCGACCCTATTCCACGAGTACAGGAAGCACCTTTTTCATTTTTTCAAGCAAGCAGCTCGGCTACACCATTGCGCCATTCAAAGTGGTTGGTCTTCCACACTATACTCCAAGTAAGGAGCAGCATGGTAGAGACTTCGGCCGCAAAATTTTGTGTTGAGTTTAGGCTGGCCGAGTTTTGAAATAAGAAAAAATTGGGTGCATCTTGTACTCGCGAAATTAGGGTACGTAGGTGCTTTTCGTTTCTTAGATAGTCGTCCCCCAGTAGAATATAGCGGACGAAGTTGATTTGAACCTAAACCATCAAATGCCAGTAGTATGCAGCCTCTCATGATATGCTGTGTTGCTTCTACTATGCCCCTATGCAATAATGTTTGTTACAACATAAGCAGATTGAAAGTTTTGAGGCACATGAACAGTAATTATAATATAAGTGCTATTAGGTAAGATGCAAATCAACTTATGCGGGATGAGGGAGGAGAAAAGTTGAGATGAGGAAAATTATCTACCCAAACACTTGCCTTGCCGCAAAGTAGTTATGGAGGCCATGAACTGTCAGCAACGCTATAAGCACCCAGTTTGCACCGTAACAAAGCCGATTTCTGCATACAGTAACTTGTCCTCATTATCCAATACATGAAACCTGGTTTTATCTGAAACTTCTAAATTAGGATTTTGTCCTATTGGGCTAAAAACTGGTGACTAAAGGTTTTCAGTCACAATCACAATCCACATCCGGGTTAGCGATCGCCCCGTGGAAATCAAGAGTAGTCTAGTAAGTTTGCTCTTGTAAGGGAATACTTCAACTACACCGTCAGCAAGAAGATGTGAATGAAATCTTGTTCATCGGAACCCATCTACGGCGCCGGTTGGTAGTAAGAACGATGTTAGGGTCCTCAGGGCGCCTTTTGACCGGACAAGAATGACACGTCTGCCCAGGAAACAGCCATGGAGACTATCTCATGCTCTGCACCTACAACGCCAGGACAGTCTCCAAAACGCCGACCTTTACGGTCTTCTCGACGCTGCAGAGTACATCAAGTACCACGTCATCGCTCTGCAAGAAACGGGGTATAGGAAGAAGCACGTGCGACAGATGAGCAAGGAGACACTCATTTGTGGTAAGAAGGTTCCATCACGAAACGTTGAAGGCGTTGGCTTTGTCGTCCACCCATCTATCTTTCATCTTTCAATTCGTATGAGATCCTATCACCTCGACTAGCCATCCTACAACTACGACCTCCACATCAGCACCATCAGCATCATTGACTGCTACTCTCCGACATCAGCAGCGGACGACTCTGAACTAGATGCTTTTTGCGAAGATGTGGAGGAGGTCGTCTGCAAGAAGTATTCTTACAAATTTGTTGTGGGTGGCCAACGCCAAAATCGGGATCACATTAGAAAAGGAATATAGGATCGGAAAGTTTGGGTATGGGCTTCGGAACGAAAACGGCAAATGTCTCGTTGGGCTGCTCTCTGCTGCACAAGTTTTTTATTACGGAAAATTCATCTTCATGAAGAGAGAATAATGCCGGTGAAAATGGGAATTGCCTAACGGGACGAATCACGCGGAGGTCGACCACATTCTCATCAACCGAAATTAGAGCTTGCTAGATGTTTCAGTAGTTCCGTCCTTCTGCAATGGCTGGCTCCGATCACCTCTCCTTCGAGCGAAGCTACGGTTCAGTGAATGCTGGAAAGAAGATGCGCCACAGTGTCGCAAAAAGGAGAAATGTCGTTCATGACGGTGACAGGTTAAGAGCTCATATCAAGTTGTGATTGTCCCATCAAGAAGGATTCAATGTACGATTACGATCGGCTTGTTAAGGGCACCGTCCACCCAAAGTGAGAGTTCACGAGATTCAATGGCATACTAATGTGGGCCTCTACACTAGGCCAACCCCAAGTTTCCCCGTAAAAGATTGCTTCCGGAGCGAGAAGTGGAAACCACGTGATACGTGATCCAAAGCTGGTCACTACGCCCATTTTGCAGCTTTGGGGGCTGCGGCGATGATATACGCCGGGCGATAACCGCGCCGCAGCCCTGCAAACTGCACTTCCACCCGTCAAGCTTTCTCCAAAATAGGGGTTTTTGGGATTCTCGACTTCATATTCGAAATCAGGGCCTTCAGAAGGCCCGGAAGCGACAACAACACGGAAGTCCAAGATTTGGGTGGACGGGGTGCGTTCAAAGATCGCGAGCCTGCGGAGAGTGCGCCTCAGTGACTTCCGAAAAGAATTTGGAACGCATTTTGAAGACCATCAAGGAACTATTCGAAAAAAGAAGTTTGCTAAGGGAAGATCCGAGTGCAACTCATTTAGATCGACTGATAGCCACTTCTAGTTGCAGGACAGTCAAGGAGGATCTCAAGAAGTATGGGCAAGCCAAGATACTGGAAGCAACTGAAGAAGACGAAGTCTCAAGAAGTGCCAGAGGGACATCTGTGAATATCACATGCCGCTGGCTGCACTATCGAACGAAGACGGAACTCCGTCTTTTTCCTGAGACAAGATGGAATCTATCGCGAAGAACTTTGATACCAACCCAGGGCTCGGCACGAGCTGGCACCAGGGAAATTTCGAAACGAAGTCCCGTCTAATCTTGTAAATTTCGTACGAAGTCCCCTTTGAACTGTTTTGAAAACCCGTCATCATTTTTATATTATTTAAAAAAATGTAGTAGTGTTTCCATGCATTTCTGATTTCATGAAAGAACTTTTCACAGCTTTCTGAGCTTTTTGAGTGGTTGAATCACATCTTGAGAAGCAGAAAAAGCCGATTTTTCGATTGCGGAGCAGACTGAGCAATTTTGAAATTGCTATAAAACGCTGAAAAGAAAACATTATGAAAGTGTTTCTTCTCTGTACGTAAACTTTTACAGTATAGATACATTTTATGTAGAAAGGTATGAAAACTTATGTGAGCAAAGTGTCGGTGCCAGCTCAGCTGGCACCCAGCTGACACGGTTCCAGCTAATTCAAAAAAAAGTTCGGCACAGCTTTCAATCACACAAGTTTTCATAAATTTTTGGGCTATAGTTCCGGTCCACCAACGCGCATGCACACACCAAATTTGGTGTCATACTATTGCATTTTGGCTGAGAACGAGGCCTTTGTTTGTTGATGGACAGCATGCCGGTGCATGCCGGCGGTACTCTTGCGGCACTTCTCCGCCGCGGACCCCGAAAAAACGATATCCCCTTTGCTTCCCGCCCTAAAAACGATATCCAGCTTGACCCGATGCCAGCTGTGCCGAGCCCTGTACCAACCTCTTCCGCTCATCAATACCCGTGCCGATGCCCGTTGTTCCCACTGAAGAAGTACCACCACGAATTCTACGTGCGAGTGCGCATAATGTCCCGTCTTCGTGACCCAGAGGAATACGTTGCGAAAGCGAAGCATTGATGGACCGATCTTATGAGAAGAACGGACGGCAGATGAATACCAAGAACATCAAAGTTGATTCCTCGCAAAGCAAGACGTCCCCGAGGAAGACCTCCAGTGAGATGGGCAGAAGTGTTCATTGAATGGATGACAGGATGAGAATTCAGCTGGATACGAATTTCGCACCTGGAACTCGTGGACGCAGCCACCGACGTCAACCAAGAAGAACGTGGATGTTTGAGGCGAGGAACAGGGATAAATAGAAGCTTCTGTGCTGGTCACATGTCACGTGAAGCCGGGTCATCCAATTATCCAGCAAGAAAAGGATACTTGGTTACCGCGGCCATGTGGAATGCGATATGTACCATGAGTGCACCTCGAAACTGCTGATTGTAAAGCTGTGCTCGACATCTACAAAACGATCATTTAAAGGCAGTTATGAACTTTTTTTCGTAGAAAATTTGCGTACTTTTAGGTAGTTAAAATCACCTTTGATCTATATTACCGTTTGAAGATATTAAGGAGGATCTTGAAAGGCGTAACGTTGTATTTCACCTATCTAAACCATACTCAGCATTTGAAGAGGAAAGAAAATTATTTATTATTTCATTTTCCGCAGTAGCGCAATTCGTTTTTGAAAAAATAATCATATCTCTATCATTCTCGTTTCGCAGATATGGAAAACGGTGTCCGAACCAGCATTAAAAGGCTATTTCTTGATATACAAACTATTATGAATTGCTTGCACTAAGCATCCTTCCCTGTTGAGTAAGCATTATGTTTCTTCCTTCAAGTCACCAAGTTGGAGTTCTCTGGGACTTTTTTGACCGGATACCTTTCTTCTTCTTTCTCTATTGGTTTTGGTTTATGAAAGTTCTCGTACCCTCTATCTGCGCATAACAAATGCCAGATTACTGCCGAACAAGGTTAGATCTTCACTATTATGTGTGATCCCCAGGCGATTCCTAGGGCCATCTCCCATTTTCGAAGTCATTTACCTTCCTGAACTAAAAAACGCTGTAAAATTGTACCAAGTATATAATATGGTACTGCTAAATATGATAGAAATAAATGAAATTTCAAATGACCCGCTGGTCGCGAGCTGGGGATTATCGACTAATTCACAATTTTTAAACTCCATTTTTCCTGTCGGAAACATGCTTAGCAATGCCGAAGTATATCCTCAGTACAATTTTACAGCGTTTTTATTGAGGTTTCAGGAACATAAATGACTTTGAAGTTGCAAGTTGATCCTCTGGGCATCCCCG